CCATAAGAGAGCCCCTCGTAAATATTTTAAAAAACACCCCCTCCCCCGATTGAGAAGCTCGAAATCTTAGGAGTCTCCCCTGACGCGGACCTCTTTAAATTATTCTTGAGCCGCCCGCTGAGTCAATAATTAGAATTATATAACAATCCAGACATCCTGGGAAGTGCTTAATCTTTAAGATTATAATTGTTGGAACTATTAAAGGAAAATGTAACAAAACACATAAATATAATAACTACAGGTAACATTCTAGAAAAAAATATCAACTCATTCAACAAAAATTAATGTGTGGATAGGCGGCTTCTTTCCTTTGATAATTCAAATAAAATATTGATTATTAAACACGATTTTCTTGAACTAAAATAATTGCTGTTAAATGACTGGTCTAGAGCTTTAAGAACTGCTAAGTATGTTGGCGGGCAACGCGGTATTTTAAAGTGAAATCGGAAATGTTTTTTCAATAAAGTTTATCATATACGCGTACGAATCTTAATAGGGTTTAAATCGTTTCGGCACACCTTGGGGATTGCCCTAAGTAATCGATGTTTTGCTAGCCATTGTCTACGAATCGATGGGAGACTTCAAATATTATCGAACTTTGAACCATTTTAACATTTGGGAGGAACTTAATCAGGGCGTTGCTTATTCCAGAATCTACCATGATGTTACTTTTTTTTATTTATTTCATTTAGACATATTTTTTTAGTTTGCCCCAGACTTGTACCCAGTCGCTTCTCTTGTCTTATTGATCTCACGTTGTGGTTGATGGGAAGGATTTAGTGAGTTCGCGGTGCATCAAGGGAAGGAAGGAAGAGAAACGCGAAGCCACCACTCGCGCATTTTTTTTTCGGTGCACTTCGTATACTAGAAGTAAGCTTTAGAATTTTCGTAAACATTCTACGTTTTGTTGTCATTGGAGTCAGGCCTTTTGAAGGTTAGATCGCAGTTTCGAATCCGACAGCATTCTGCACTCAAAAGGTTTCACTAGCTCCCTTGGTTTCACTGAACTACCTCTAGCTACTCTACCATCGTTGTATTAACAATCTATAAGTTACGAATATCGTCGGAAAAAGAATAGGTGCAATTTCGAGCAGAACGACTTAAACGCAATAGCCCCCTTCACAGTTCCCTGCGCCATCTTGAAAGGTAGCCGTGCCTTTGCATCGAAGCGAGACGAACGTTCAGCTTGCAATGATAGAGACCTTTTTCAACACCTTGGACAATTATTCACATGTCTCTATCATTGCAAGCTCACCGTTCGTCTCGCTTCGATTCAAAGGCACGGATACCTTTCAAGATGGCGCAGGGAACTGTGAAGGGGGCTATTGAGTTTTAAATTACGTGAGTCATTATCCATCTGGACAGTGAAAAACGAAAACATTAAAAGATAGCAATGATGTTTGATTTCCGGCTTTTCAAGTGTCTACAGTATTGGTTAATCACTTAATAATAAGTCTTAGCCAATCAGAATGCATCATATGGTGACGACCCATCGCGTAGAGATAACACACAAATTTGCGCAATAAAAAAACACATTTATAAAATCACAGAAAACCTGTTATCAAATAAATAATTTCCAATACAATGCTTCCTAGATATCTGCCCACACAAACAGTATCTTTTAGAAAGTCTAATAGCTATCCTAACTATATAAATATGAATCACGCTGTTTTATACGTACATGAAACCGGAGTTGTAACAAAATATCATCTTCAATAGTAAACACCTGGGCGCCTATATCAAAATTAGACTATATTTATCTTAGGTTATCTTAGGTACTTCTCGTACTGCAAAAGCAATACATTGTAAAAATTATTGGAAAATTTAAGGCGAAGCAGCAAAATTGGACAAAAATTTTCAGCAGATGTTTAATTTAACAATTAAACCAACCTCTGCTTTTTTAACTGCCATGTCAGTTGTATTGACTATTTTTCGTAATATCTCAGACTATGAATACAAACGTCTATCCTATTGATGGTTTAGAAAATAGTTATTCATAAGCTGCAATTTTGATGTCCGTTGGTCATAACGTTTTGCCTCCACACACGACACGGCACTGGCCATCCGTCTTAAGCTCAACGGCCGCTAACCTACCAAAATGGGAACAGATCTTGTTCTAGCAGTCAGTTCATGGTAGAAATTCATTCCTTGAGTTTAAAACCAACGCTCAAGTTTCACAAAAGGTAAAAGAATATACCTAACGTATCCGGATACCAGATACTATGAAGCATTTGGAGTCAAATGTCTCGGAGATTTTGTTTCGTGTTAAAGGAACCGATTTGCGGTTCTCCAAACTTTCTAATAACCTGATTGATATGTCGAGATATTGAAAGTTAATAATACTAAAATAAATGTTGGCAAAATGATCATAGGTTTCCATAGGACATCGCTGTTTAGTGCCTACAGCTGATCTGAACTGAATAGTGACATTTAAGGCTGAAATCGCCACTCATGCCCTATAGTATTTCTTAAATATGTCTACAACTTACTTCACTTAATTATTTATGTTTATTTATATATATACTGTAGCATAGGAAATTTTTTATAGTATGATATTAACTTTTATAATGTAATTTTTATCCACACGCCCCTTGTGGAAATAAACTTTAGTTGACGGGGAAAGCGCGTCTAAATAAAGTTATACCTACCTAACTAATGACGACACTGCAAGGTGTCGTGAAGCCTGCAAAAATTGGCCGTCACTATTACGATGAAAATATCAAAATCATTATTAGTTATCGTGTCACTGTTATCAAGCACTAATTAACGAGGATTTTTTATTTCATTTTGTGGCCTGGAAATCCATAATTTCAAGGGGAAAAGCGCCGACACCTTGATTGGCTAACATATCGAAATTAATCGAGTCTTAATAAATTGCTGATAGTTATTCAAAAGAGAACGGGGGAAAAGGAAAAATAATTGAAAAATAAACTTAAACGGAGTCTAGAAAAATTTAATATCGTTGAGTTTGGAAACACCTTGCTGGTCCCGTGTGGTCGGAAACGATAGCAAACCGCTGATTGGCTAAGATCCATTTTCTCGCTCCATTGATTGGTTTATTACTAAAGCCATGTAGAGTCATCGTCGCAGTCGCGCCGTGCATTTGCTGCCAATCACTTGCTCTATTTTTAGTGCATCGATTTATTAAAGTACAGATGGTAAAACATATTGTCATGCGTGTTTACTTTATAAAACAGGGTTTATGTTTCGAAGCATTTGTTTTTATCCGTTACCAAGACAGGAAAAGACCGACCAAGAGGGCAAGTTTTCAAAAACTACTGCAATTCTAACTTCGAGTTAACTTTTCAGGATTTATAAAGTCTTGACGTAAGTTGCCTTTCTTCATTACCTAATTTTGATTTTAACTTTAATATTTGATTTTTGTTATTTTTCATTAGGTAGTTTTATTACGACGTATTACTAAGTAGCTTGGATTAGTTCAATCGTTACGTATTTTTTAACGATTAGTTATTGGAAAGATGGCAGTAACTGACTATATCATATAATATGTAAATTAATACATAGCGAAAGCATTGCAAAATTTTACTGTGAGTTTGAAGATAAATTTCAGCCAAGAGCAAATATTTCCAGTATTTGTTCATCTTATTTTGCTCTCAATTTCTTTGTAATGCAAAATATTACAGATTTTAGCTTCGCTCTGTGAAAAAATAATTGGCTGATATAGCCGAGCACAATATAAAACTTGACAATATTAAATGTTTGTATCGTCTGTTTGTTATGTGAAACGTCAAAGATAAATGGCAAAAATTCAGTCATTTTTGACGTTAAATTTATTTAGTTGTGGAAAAGTTTGTGTCAGCGCTCAGTCGACTAGATTCATTATCCCGCCACTCGATTCTTAATGTAAGGCATATGTAAACTGAACACCCCGAAAACTATTGAACTATGGCAGACATGACGTAAAAAAAGTTGATTAACTACATTGAATTATATTTAACAAAAATATAATGCGAATTGGATTTAGTGAATCTACCTAAAGGTTAAAAAGAGACAATGGCAAAAAATAAAATAAAATAACATAAATAAATAAATAAAATAAATTAAAAATATGAAAATAATAATAATAATAATAATAATAATAATAATGATGCATGATGATAAAAAGGAAACAAATAATAACTCTCAGAACGACATTCAGAGCTTTCGTAACACTATGAAAAGAATGTTTTCGATTGTAGATTAAAAATATATTAAAATCCAGATGCGAAATTTTATCATCGTTTTGCTTAAGGAGCTTTACGTTTGTTCATTACTACTTCAATTTAACTATATACTATCTGATGACAAATGGTTTAAGCGCAGCAGTGTTTAAGTTAAATGCCTCCAAAAGAGTTAATCTGTCGGTCTGGGACGCGACGCAAGACAGCGCGCTCGATCTGATTGGCTAGTTCGGAAATCTGTATTGAAAATCCGGAATCTTTTTTCAAATGTCGATAACATTAGGTAAACCATGTTCTCTTTCAGTCAACCTAAAAAAAATCATACTAGGAAGCTTTTAGCAGGGCGTAAAAATAGCGTCTATCTATGATCGGATAAAATGCATGATAATAGTAAGCGAAGGACTGAAATCGAGATTTTTAAAAATGTGAATAGAAATTCCGTTCGAATGATTCAGGTCAAAAATCGAGGACAAACTCTAATAGTTATAATCATATTCACAAATTCCGGTTGGAAATTTTCGGAAATATAAAAAAAAATGATAAGCATCCCAGTGCTATACGGTTTTTCTTACCGTGTGTGCCCTGTAAGTCAGTATTCGGTGAGTTGTCCACTTACACTATATTTTCGAATTTCTTTGATTTGCGAGGCCGAAATCATTAAAGATAACTTCAATTTACGATACCTAGAATTTCCCTCTGAACAAACAAGCTTTTGAAAAACACACAAAAAAATCCTCCCAGCTGGACAGATTTTTCTTCAAAATATAAGGTTCGAAAAAATAACGTGTCAAATTACTGAGACTGAAATCTTGGATCGCTTTGAGAGACCTGTGTTCGGTTCTATTAAACACTTAGACGAATAACCGCAAAACTAACCATTCGAGGGGTTATTGACCAGAAGAGCTGATACATAGGCATATGTGAACATATAAAAAAGGTAACGCTAGAATTTATTGTTTTGAGGGGTTTGATAAGTTTCCGAATATCGTCATTCAGTTTCATTGTATAAGCTAATCGGTTAAGTTTGTGGGATGAACAAGCGACAATCTTAAGTGGGAGCGCGCCCAATCGGAAATGTCAAGACAGTTGTAATGAACAGTTTCGTGATGAAAATCCTGTCTTACGTCTTTACATGGCTAAGGATATTTTATCTGAAAGACGTTCATGACTTAGATTCATTATTGCTAAGAAAAAAAAGAAACAGAAAAAGGAAGAAAAGATGAGCAAGAACACAAACTAATGATATAAACATTATAACAGCCAATTATTTCGGCTTTTTTCACCAAAATCTAGGTCTGTAAGCCTAAAAGCAGATGCTTTAGCGTTATCAGTCGCAATCGGAAAAAGTATTTAAGCCTATTGCCTCGGTGTTGCAAACTTTTCGAATCGGTTATATGCTACAGTATTGACGTCATAAACAGTAATGATTCTGGTTATTGCGCAATTCGCTAGTGTGCAAGTCAAAGGACGTGATTTATTTAAAAATAATTTTGGATCTCTTTTGTTTGTTATTCCTTACATTGTGACTTGCCCTGAGTACTGTAAGGCTCGGGTCGAATGATTTCGAGTCAAAGCCCAGTACATGTCAACAAGTTCAGTTCTTTTTCATCCAGGTTATTCAAAGATGAATCCGACTTTCGCATCAAATACAAGCAATTATCCGGCAAATGTGACGAATAGGACAACTCTTTACACTCGAAGTAACTGGTACGATCCTGACTACGAAACAACTAAAATGTGGTGTCGCGGTGTAACAGCTTTTGTGGTTCTCTTTGGTAACTTTGTGTGCCTGGTCGCTTTCCTGGGGTCCAAATCACTGCGCAAGCGCCCTCACTACCTACTCGTGCATCTCTGCCTGGCAGATTTCCTGGTCGGTGTTAGTGTTCTTCTACGACTGGTCATCGACTTTTTTTACTGGAAACATGGCAACGCGGATTTTGTGTTCGCGTCTTTCACCTTTACTCTTGACTATTTCTCGAGTATCGCTTCTATTAATGTACTCACATCGATAGCTATTGAAAGATTCCTTGCTATTGTCTTCCCTTTATTCCATCGCATGTCAGGGAAAGGACTTTATGCCTTATTAATTGGGATCCCTTGGCTGTTGTCTACCGTGACTACCATCACCTACGTATTCTCGTATCGATTTCCAGTGATTGAACTAGATATATTTGAGATGACATATCTCATCGTGATTTCAATCCCGGTCTTCGTCATCTTCATCGCTTACACCGCCCTTCTCATCAAAGTCAGAAAAAATCACGTCCAAGTCCCATGTCGCACCCAAGACTTGCGTGACAGAAAACTAGCTGTCACGCTACTCATCGTCACGCTAGCATCAGTGACTACTTGGGGTCCGTATAACGTGTATTACGTTTTAACATTTCACTGTGAAGCCTGTGGCATCAAATATTCAGGAAAACTATTTTTTGGACTGATTATTTTACAGTACTGGAATTCTGGTATCAATCTTGTAGTATATTTCTACAGGATGCCTCAGTTCAGGCAAGTGATTCTAGCTTGGTGTTGTTGTAGGCATCGCCAAGTCAAGCCTCAAAACTCACAAGACAGCAGCAACAGTCACCCGCACGTTTCGTCAAATAAAGTATCAAACAGCGGGATTAATACGACGCGCCTCTAGACTATTACAAGGTGAATGCAGAATACATCACACCACTCTAGCATACGATGTTAGTGAATGCGCAACGCACTATTCCAGTAAGGCTCAGGTCAAACGTCGATTTTCACATGAGCCGAACTTAATTACATCAAAGAAAACCGCCTTGTTATCCATTGTTTCAATTTGGTTCGGCTCAAGTGAAGTTCGATGTTTGACCTGTGCATTACTGGATAATTAGATGGATTAAATGTACAACGCACCACATCACTCTAGAATACCAATATACCATGGTATATCCGGTATTATACGATATTAGGGAATTCGCAACACAC